AGTGATCATTCTTTGGGTTCATACTCACACGGGACGGACGCGTCATGCGTGACATCCCCATGGAGTGAGAATCGTCTTGCGGGTTCGACAGGACCGAGCTGTCCAGAGACATCGTCTGGTCAAGTTGATGTTGTGGGTCTTCCACAAGGTCCGTGTGACGGAAGCGCAGCACGGCTGGTCGAGGGCCACTTTCCAAGATGTCAATGACCTTCTGGAAGCGCACACCTTGTGTCGAAAACTCGTTAATGAAGACCAGATGATCGCCCGCTCGCACGTTGAACATGCCAGGTAAAAGCTGGTTGCCTTGAGACTGCAACACGCACGGGTATCCAGTGCTTGGGTCCGGACGGAAGCCAAGACCGAGAGGTACTCCTTCTTTCCACAATACTTCGTAATCCTCTTCTCCCAGAAGTTCTAGAGATCCTGATCGAAGTCGGAATGACTCGGTCGGATTGCGGAGGAAATGAAGACGCACAGGCTTCTGGACTTCTTGAAGAAGAGTCAAAATGCGACGGATGTCTCCCTTTTTCACCTTCACCTTTCCCACGGCAAGCAGAACGTCACCGCGCGAGACTTCAAAGATGTCGGCGCAGTTACTCAAACTCTCGTGGACTCGACGCACAATAGGCAAACTGGAGATAGGGTCACTTTCGAAGTACAGACCCAACAGTCCGCACTCCCAGACGATCTCGTACTCGTTCTGGATCTGTGTGGGCGGCTCGTACTCTTCGATCATCTTCTTCCTCGAGATGCGAGAGCTGCTTCTGATACTGATACTCCCGTCCGTATCTGAGTAGTCACTCGTGGACACGGAGCTCTGGAACGAGATCGTCGTGTTCTTCCGGTCCTTAGAAATCGACTCGGCGAGTGAAATCGAGCTTGCCGTGGTGCTACGTTCATCCAGAGATCCCACGTAAGACACGTCATGTTCGAAGCTCAATGTGTTGGCAGAATACTCGCGTCGAACCAGCCATCCACGCACGAAAGATTGGATCACAGTGACTGCATGAATGCGCTTGAGTTGCTTCCTCGCCAGGAATCCTCGAGTTGTGCTCTGTAACTTCACAGCGGCGCGTTGACGACGAACAATGCGTTGATATCGATGCCAGCAATACCACGAGCGCCACATCGCTTGGATGCGAACACTCGATCGACGCCTACGTTGATAGCGCGCACGCATCGTGTACCCGAGACAGTATCGCTGCAAGGTGATCACAGATTTGTACAGAGCCTTTGATCGAGCAGCTTCCAGCGCTTGATGAGCTTCAAGAACGCAGAAAACCTTCGTCTTGCCCACTTGGAACGGAGGGTGCTTGGCACCCGTCACCACTTGAAGCTTTGTAGCCAACTTGTCCACCATCTGCAGCGCCACTTCTTTCTCCACTTGTCCTTGGGCACTTGGTACCTGGGACAAGATGCAGCTGTACGTTTTGATAAATACTTCATGAGGAAAACGCACAGGGTAGCCACTCCGAGAGATCTTGACGGCTTCCAGTACACCACTGCAGCGCAGCTGTTCCAGGAGACGTTTTCGTTCGAACTGAGAAGCGCTGGCTTGGTCGTTGGGTTTGATGCAGCGAATAAAGTGAGGCTCCGTTGCATTCAACACTTCCAGAAGCGAGCTGAGCTGACTCTTGAATTGCGCCACGACTGTAGACGACATGATGCCGCCAGATCGACGACGAGTGCCATCACTGCCACGAGACTCCGTCCGACCATTTCGTGGACTCGAGTTACCAGCAGCATTGACACTGTTCTCGAAGCATGCACGCACAAACGAGAACTTGGACGTACGCAGGAGATCCACAGCCTCAGTGTGCATGTGGTCTTTGTTCTTGTCACAAAAGCCATCCGTCATGTAGCACACGTTGCCAGCATAGTGATGAATCACAAACTGGCCCTTGGCTCGCTGCAGTTTGGTCACTGAGAAGCTCTCGTGCTTGCCTGCTAGTAGTTCGTAGTACTTGTTCGCCAGCTTCTCGTCGTTACCGCGAGGGATCAGACATTGCTCGTCCAACAGAGAGAAGATACCGGTATGTCGCTTCTCTACAAGAGCCACACAGACGTCGTTGTTCGGATAGTCGACGAACTTCCAGGGAATTTCTTCCGCTACGTACTGATCCTGCTCCATACGGAACACGAACCTGCCGAACAATTGTTGGAGCTTCTCGTTCGCATAGTTGATACACAACTGCTCCAGACGGTTCTGCTCAAAAATCTCAAAGCCGAAGATATCAACCACACCGATGAACTGACTGCCTCCAGCTTCTTCCTTGTACTCGATACTCCGGGTAATGAGGTCACGAGCCAAGTTAAAAAGATTCGAGTAAAGAAACTTAACAATTGAATTCTCGAGCCGAGAGCGCCTGTTCCAAAGGCAGAAGAAATAGAAAGAAACTGCTATACGTATAATTGGTCTTGAGCAAAATAATGCAAGGCTGGGTCGTCTCCCACCAAGAACAAGAGGATGGAGCCAGATGGCAGACGAATTGAGGTGAGGAATAGAAAAAAATAAAAAACGTAGGAGCCATGGAAAGGTAGAAGTAATTAAACGATACAAAATAAAGAACGAGAAGATGAGAAGTAGAGCGGGGAGAGATGTGTTGTTTTT